CTCCCCTCTCCTCTCCTCTTCTTCTCCCCCCTCTCCACTCTTCCCTCCCTCCCTGGCCCCCTTTTTTTGAGACAAGGTCTTGCTATATATCCCAGGCTATCCTTAAACTTGTGATTGTCCTGTGTGGTGGTTTGAATAAGAATGGCCTCCATAGGCTCATAGGTGTGGCCTTGTTGGAAGAAGTGTGCCACTGGGGGTGGGCTTTGAGGTTTCAGAAGCCCAAGCCAGGCCCAGTATGGCTCTCTCACCCTGCTGCCTTTGGATGCAGATGTAGAACCCTCGGTTTCTCTAGTACCATGCCTACCTGCATGCTACCATGCTTTCCCTCATGATGACAATGAACTAAAACTCTGAAACTATAAGCAAGCCCCAGCAAAATGATTTCTTTTATAAGAGATGCTGTGGTCATGGTGTATCTTCACAGCAATAGAACACTGATTAAGACACCCTTCCTCTGACTCATGAGCGCTAGGATGCAGACATGTATTGTCACACCCAGCTCGTTTGGGATTTCTTGAAGGCTCCCACAGGCTGAGACTCAGGTAGGAGAATTTTGCCTTGAGACCTAATCTAAACTCTTGTGCTGTAGCCTATGGCACACTGATATGTGTTTCAAAACCCCAGCACTCGGGCTGGAGAGATGGCTCAGTAGTTAAGAGCACCAACTGCTCTTCCAGAGGTCCTGAGTTCAATTTCCAGCAACCACACGGTGGCTCACAACCACTTGTAATGAGATCTGGTGCCCTCTTCTGGCCTGCAGGGACACATGCAGGCAGAATACTGTATACATAATAAATCTTAAAAAAACAAAACAAAACAAAAAAAACCCAGCACACTGACCCTGTTGGACACTCAAGTTTCTATCACATGCAAAGTAAACAGATTCCAGAGTCTCTGTCAGGCCCAATCTCTGTGCTTAGTTAATTTGCAATTCACTCTGGTTCCTCCAAAGGTTTGCAGCAGTATCTGAGAAGAGTGGAGCCTGTCTGTGGCTCTGCATGAAGCTGTACCTACTAAGCCACTTACAGGAATGAGCAGAGGACCTTTCCAGTTTCTGCCTCATAATCTGACTGCCTAGGTGAGCACAGCATCCCTGCCCCTGCTCAGTTTTGTATGGGCAATGACATGGATAGGAACATTTGGATCTGTTAGGACAGAATCATGCTTTGATTGGACAGCACAGTGTCTTGGCCATTTGTGAAGAGAAAACTGCTTAGAAGGGCAGAAGGCTGGGGAAGGGACCAGTCAGGGCATACAGGTACCTGGCCTCTTCGTGTCTCACAGTTGTGGAGGTAGCTTAGGTGATAGATCTTCAGGTTTAATGTAGCAAAATTTAGGTACTTTGTGAAAACCTGAAAGAGCAATCATAACAGCCTTAGTCAGAAATCCAGATGTTCAAGGACATATGTACAGAAAAGAGACATACCTCAAAGATCCTGGAGGAACTGTCACATACATACAAACATACTGGTAGGCTGTACTTGTCACTCATGGGTGTGGACTTGCACACACAAGCTCAGTCCTGTGGGGCAGGGACATGGCACACACACAAAGACATGCAGAGGGACATGACTCATACACAACAAGAAGAACAGCTGGAGTGTAGTTCACACACCCAGATAAACAGAAACACCTGATTTAAAGGACATGGCTTATACATCTGGATGAGCACAGCTCACACACTCAGATTAGCAGAGGGACATGAATCAGACCAACACTTGTCGAGGGACATGGCTCACATAACTACATGAATAGAGACAGTGACATGCAGATGAGCAAAAGCATGCTGCGAGGTAGTACACACACACACAGACACACAGAGCAAACACATCTCCTGGACACTCACATCTTCATCTTCACTTGTGAAGCATGGGCCATCCAGCTTATTCACTGCCATGATCACAGCCACGACATCTTTGCCATTCATGATTGGTGTGGACAGAATGTTCCTTGTGACATAGTCGGTGAGCTCGTCAGCGAAGGAGCTGAAGTGGGGACACTGCCGCGAGAGGAGAGAGGTTATTGACTGCTTTGCAGTCCAGCCCTTTTAGGTCTTTACACTGGGGCTAAGCTCTAGGAGGTCACAGTTTACAATGTACTACAATGTCCAGTAGCCCTACCTCTGAACTCAGGACACAGTCTCTGGGCAGAGAGAGTTCAGCCAGGTTTTAAGGTTCTTCCTAGTTCACCTCACCACTGATTCCTAAGAAGTCTCCCAAGGTTTCCTCCCAAATAGCCCCTACAAGGTCCTCTAGCACTGTCTGTTTTGGGGCACAGTTGGTCTCCTGGATGCTCAAATCTAGCCACTGCCTACCTTCAGACTTCTAGCCCAGGTGACTGTCTCCTTCTACGTCCAGCCCCCTCCAAACCTGCTGCACATCCTTCCTGGAAAGATAACTATGACTGAATGAAGGATGGACTCTGTTGTGATTGGTGGCTTGTTACGGCACAGTATCACTAAGACATATGTGGCTTGGGAGCTGGAGTTGAGTTTCCTGTATCTTGGAATCTGTCTACCAGCCCTGCACTCAAGCTCTGCTCCACAGACCACTATCCACCATGAGACTCTATTTGTGATATGGTGAGTTTTGCCTATTTCTGGGCTCAGGGAAGATTCAAAGAGGGCTCAGGGAGAACTCCTACCTCCTACATCTACTACCCCCAAGATGTAAGAGGAATCCTGCCTCTGGAGTTAGTTCTACCCCTGAAAGGAAGGGGTTATTTGAACCAGGCTCAGGATACTAAGTTAGAGCCAGGCACTCCTAACAGAAATGCCTCTGCCTTACTCTCTGCTTTCTGGTTATTCCTTAATTTATATGAGGCCACAGTACCCTGGCATAGTGACAGAGGTGAATGAATGTCTGTGATTTTAGCCTCCCTTTAGGGTCTGTCCTAGAAAGCTGGAGCAGCTTATGTCCCTCCCATTCCTCTCCAGCGGATGACGGACTACTGTCAATACCTTTGACATCTATCACCCCACTGCTGACTGTTAACAGAGATTCTCTTAGACAGACTTAGGACCGTATCTTGCAGCCCTTGTGATTTGTTATAATTCTCCATCGCTTAGCCCCATGAGCAGCTTGAGGAGTTCCCTGCTGCCATTCTATTTCCTTGGTTGCAAGTTAGCCAGGCCACAGTTTTAGCTAAAGGTGTTCAGAAGGAGGCTGCCAGGAGCCTGGAGTTTGGGCGATCCTCCCAATGGAATGTAGGTGGCTGGAAACAACTCTTCCTCCTCCTTGGAGAAGCAGCTACCACCTGACTGCCAAGTGGCACCAAGCTGGAGGTAAATCAGCATATGAATGACAGCAGAAAAGAAAGGTAAGCAGCAAGTCCTGACAGAGGTGACATTACTGAGATTGACACTCACATCTTGTTGTAGAAGATCACTAACTTTTTCTGGCTAAATTGTAGCTACATGGCTTTGGTCATGTGGAAATGAAATGGTGAATCCTCCCAAGGAAGAAATTTGCCTGGGTACCCTTTTCTCTGAGCATATCCTGAGACATTGTGTACCTGGTGATTTGGACATGCCTATCTCCTGACTAACCATTAGTACTAGAGGCTAATCCTGATCTTCAGGTTGCTTCTAGAAGCAATATACCAAGGCATACTGAAGCATTTCTTCACAGAGCAAGAGATTACCTTCAGATGATATACACAGATCTTTATATGGTGCACACAGTTCCACACTTGACCTTTATATGATTTAGAGATACACATACTTGATCTTCAGATGGTTCACACAGGTCCACATAGCTGACTTTTAGATCAGTGGTTCTCAACCTGTGGGTCGTGAACCCTTTGGGGGTCAAATGACCCTCTCATAGGGGTTGCATATCAGATATCCTGCATTTCAGATGTTTACATTACAATTCATAACAGTGGCAAAATTAGTTATGAAGTAGCAACGAAAATAATTTACGGTTGGGGTTGCCACAACATGAGGAGTATTAAAGGGTCACAGTATCAGGAAGGTTAGGAACCACTGACACAGGTGAAGCACACTTGGCCCTCAAATGAGGCACAGAGGTCTACCAATGTGACTCGGAATGCGCAAGGCACACAGGCCATACTAGGTGGGTGTCTTAGTCAGGCTTTCTATCGATGTGATGAAACACCATGACCAAAAGCAAGTTGGGGAGGAAAGGGTTTATTTGGCTTATGCTTCCATATTGCTGTTCATTATTGATGGAAGTCAGGACAGGATCTCAAACAGGCCAAGAACCCTGAGTCAGGAGCTGATGCAGAGGCCATGGATGAGTATACTGCTTACTGGCTTGCTTCCCCTGGCTTGCTCAGCCTGCTTTCTTATAGAATCCAGGACCAACAGCCCAGTGATGGCATTGCCCACCATGGGTGGACCCTCCCGAATTGATCACTAATTGAGAAAATACTTTACAGCTGGATCTCATGGAAGCATTTCCTCAGCTGAGGCTCCTTCCTCTCTGATGACTCTCGCTTGTGTCAAGTTGACACAGAACCAGCCAGCACAGTGGTTGTCTAGTTTGCTTTTCTTACTGGCTTTATTTCCGCCACATTTCTCCCCACATTTGAGACCTCACTTTAGCGCCCGTTTTATCTATACACTGTATAAGCCCCATTTTGCAAACAAAACCACAGAATAGCCTGGGATCTCCCTGCCTCTTTCTCTTGGCCTTGCCTCCACCAAGGAACCTCACTCTGTTCATTGCTCTCCCTCTGCATTTCCTTCCCCTGCTGGGAATTAAATATGATCAAGGCTGTGGTTTTAAAATGCTCTCCTTGTTACTTAGCCTCTCTGGGTCTGTGGATTGTATCATAATTATCTTTTACTTTACAGCTAATGTCCATTTGTAAGTGAGTACATACCACGCTTCTGGATCTGGGTTACCTCACTCAGGATGATTTTTCTAGTTCCATCCATTTGCCTGCAAATTTCATGGTGTCATTGTTTTTAACGGTTGAGTAATACTCTATTGTGTAATCATTTAAAAATCCAAAGAGATGGACACTAATAGTTACATATACTTATGAGTACTGGAAAGTTTTACTTGTTATATAAAATAATGGATATTTATCACTATTAAAATAAAATATACAATATGTAAATAGTTCAAAAATGATGTGTCTATATAATAGTTTTAGAAATATTGATGAAATATTGTTAAAATGAAATATTAAATAACAGTAATTTACCTACTACTTACCAGTATGTGACAATTTCAAATAAAATACTGAATTGGGTAATTTCATATATTACTTGTGTGCATTCATCAAATAAAGCATGGAAATAATTAAAAAATAATTCAAACAAACAAACAAATAAATAAAATGCTCTCAAATCCCTTTAATTTGTCATGCCCTCTTCTCTGTGGCATCTGCCTTCTTGGATTCCCTGCCTTCTTGACCATGTTCCCAGTCTTCTTATCCATGTCTCATGTTGGTTCCAGTAATACAGTCACTATCTTTATATTGAAGTAATCTGCTCCAGCCTCACCAGTCTCTCAGATATCAAATATTTTTCCTACTCAGGACACTGCTTTGGGGTCTTCACCTCATAGCCTACACCCACAGAATCTTGGTATCTTTATGGGTTTCTCATGATCCTCATAAGACAGGAATCTTAAAGAAAAAAGTAAAGAAGTGCTAGGGTCCAGGGCCAGAGGTAAGACAGAAACAGCTTGTCCATCATGGCAGATTTGGCTACATCTGTGTCTCTCTGAGAAGCTGGTTTTAAGTGAGGTTGGGGATACGGATATCTGGGGATATCCATGCCAAGTCTGGCTAGCATTTTCTCTTTTGACCTTCCCTCTATGAACCCACAGTTGAGACAAGAATATAGAGATCCCTGGGACAAGCCTCCTTCTAGCCTTAAGCACACTACTCCCTCATAGCCAAATTTCTACCTTTCCTTGATTTCCATCACTTTGCCATTCATGCATGTGTTTCAGTCAGTCAGGGATACCGTGGCTTTGGTTGGGCTTTAAGATGACTCTGGTAGCCTTTTAGCCCAGCCTGATCCTACACCTCCTGTAATGATAGCCCCCAAGGTCCCCCATTTAGCTGGTGTCCCCTTTGACTTCACCCACAGATGCAAATCTTTTCTGTGTATGTGATGTAATGTACATTCCACATTGAAGATTGACATGCAGCCCTGCAGCTTCCAGCTTCCTTCCCTGTCCTCCTTGTGTCTCCAGGAGCTTCTAGAGGCTTCTGTTTGCCTTTCTTTCCACTCCACTGTCCACTTAGGGCTTCTCTGCTCCCCACGACCTCCTGCTCAGAATAATTGATAGCCTCAAAAGTGGGTAAAGTTGGAAGACACTCAGGTTCCTGCAGAATCTGAGTTGAACTCTTCACTGTCAAGTTATAAATGCATATGAACCACGGATAATGTGAGCTTCTGGGACACTTCTTGCCCAGCAGACTTCCCCAAGATCCACTTCTTCACGCTCATTGTCTGCTATTCTGCTGACCCCTAACCATCTGCATCCCTCTTTACCTCAAACATCTCTGGGTCTCCTGAAGCCATAACCCAGACAGCCTAGCTTCCTTTGGTAGCTGAGAGAAATGTATAGGGTGATTCAAATTCGCATGTAGGGGAAATGCCTGTCCCTTTAAATGACTGCTGCACTCCTCCAGAGTATTTCAGATGAAGTCCTTCAAAGAAGGACACACAGAAAAAGGTTAAAACAGTCAAACCTTCCAGCCTTTTTCTGGGTGACCTAAAGTGAACTTTTCTCATTATCACTCCATTACAATGCTATATTCTCCACCCCAGAGCCATTCCCATCCACCCTAAATATTTGCTGTATGAGGAGGCATGGTCTTGAGCCATATCTGCTCAGGGATGTGATGGATCTTCAGGTAGTAGAATCTTCCCAGTTAAATATACATAACATGACTCACAGAGCACTGTTGTAGAATATTTGTTTAACTATGTAAAGATGTGTTACATTTGTTTACATGTAAAGATGTGTTGCTGTTTTACATTGCCTGCCTAAGACACCTGATTGGTCTAAT